GGACGCGGCTGAATCAGCGCGGCCGGTGGAGCGGTTCCACCGTAGATGGTGAAGTAGTCTGGAGAGTCCATGAAAGGTGTCAGAAACGTCGGGAAGAGGAAGGGGCGCGGCGTGAGAGGAGGACGTGGCGGCGACGGCGGCGGTGATGGGGAGCGACGGCAGTGACGGCGCGCGCAAGGAGACGCTGCGCGGCGGCGCACGGGGAGGCGCTCGGCGGCAGCAGCAGCTTCAGACACACATGGAGTGCAGCAGCGGCTGTCGAGGCTGGGTGGCTCGGCGCAGGCTGGCAGGGGCGATCGCGCGGGCGGACGCCCGGGTGTCTGGAAGATCGCGCGGATTAAGCGACGCGGACGGGCGGCGGCCAGCGATGCCAGAAGCGTGCGGGTGCGCTCGCGCTAGCGGGATCGAGAGCAGCAGCACCCCACGGCGGTGGCCGAGCACGTACCAAGCCCGATGCACCTTGGCTAGGTAGGGGTCAAGAGAAGTCAACGGAGCACCTTGGCTTGGCTAGCTAGCGATTGAGAAAAGCAGCTTGGCTAGCTAGCGAGGCACGGTAGCATAGAGGAAAAAGCAGGGGAGCGAGGCAGTGAGAAGAGCGGCGGCGGCCGGCGCGGGAAGGCGCACGGGGGTGGCGGTGGTTGGATAGCGACGGCGGCGGCGCGAAGAAGACGCGCGGCGGGGGTGGCGGAAGCGAGAGGAAAACCTAAAAAACTGAAACCATGTAGACGAAAAAATTTGCAATACAATAGACGTGGTATTGATGGGGTGCTGCTGCACGTATATATAATACAAGGGAAGACATCTACCTCAACTATACAAGACTAGGAGATGGGTCACACCTTCAATACACGTGCAATACAAAATACATACTCAATAGAAACCAAACATCAGGCAAAAATTGCTTCTGTAATGCAGCCAGTCTACATGAACTAAACGATGTACAGATTATGATTTTATGCATGCATTTGCTCAACCAGATCTAACTAGGACAAGTATGCAATGAGAAAAAAAAATACAGGTAACCAAACACGCCCTTACTGTTCGTCCTGATGCATGTGCACCTGGAGCAGAAAACCTAAACTTCTCCACACCAAAGTGCAATCCATAAGCTAGTTTCTCGAGAAGCTTAAGCTCAAAAGAATTGACCTTTATTATACATAGGTCTGACAAAAGAAATGAGCCTTATTATATAGGCTTGGTTACCCATTTTATTTATAGTCCCTCCTGTCCTTTTTACTCTGCGTATTAGATTTGTGTCTAGTCAAACTTTATAAAGTTTGACCAAATTTATATTAAAAAATATCAACATCTACAATACCAAATATATATATTATGAAACTACATGTCATAATGAATCTAACCATATTAATTTGACATTGTGAATGTTGATACTTTTTTCTACAAGTTTGGTCGAACTAGAGATGCTTTGACTTCTGACAAAATTTATATGCAGACTAAATTAATTATGTGATAGGTTTTACCCTTCTATATTTTAGAAGATAACTGAAAGTGAAAGGCCAATGTAACTAAAAATCCAAATCAAAAACCAAACAAGTTCCAAAGTTCAGCATACTACAAGCAGAATCAATCAACAGAAACTTATAATTACTATGGCTTTTTAGCATAAATTTCTGAGTGTGATAATGCACTAAAAGAATATAGCAGATTGACAAGTCTTCTGGCCATGCATGATTCATAAGAGGAGCATCCCAATGTAATCCTTCAGGACGGGGAGCCTCTGCTCGTTATCATAGCCATAAATGATGCTGGTCATCCTCGCCAAGTTGAGTGACGCTAGGAGAAAACTGGGTGACAAGCAAGACGACCTCGTCCTAGAGAAACACTCCCTGTTGAGCTCCTCCCACTCATTTGTTATCATCTCCAGCATGTGCTCCTCCGCATCGGCATGAGGATTCTCTCTCAGGTACATCTCCTTGTAGGAACCATCGAACCCTTCTTGCACTTCATCCTGCCAGGACAAAGAAAAAACAGTGAGATCATGGCAGAACATAAGTTTTGGCCAGCAACTCAACGTCGACGTGGATGCGCATGGATCAAAATATTGATTGAACTGTGAAATTCTTGGGAAGGAAAATCTTTCCTCGTATGTATGTACACACACATGTGTAGAGTTTTTTGACATGTTCTCACCTTAGCACTACCCATGTCATCCCGGAGCCTCACGATCTTTGCAGAGGAGTAGATGACCCGAGGAATGTTGTTGCCGTCAAGCTCTGTCGAATCATGCCCTAGCATGAAGAAAAGATGCAAGAATATAAGTGGTACTCCTGATGTGATAATGCCGTTTCTTAGGTAGTCCTCCGGTGAAGGGACCTGGTTCGAAGATAGCCATTTTCTCTCAACCAGGAATGCATCAAACAAAGTTTCCCACTGGAAAAAAGATAAAGGAAAAGGGAATAAAATAAAGTAAGCTTCCTCCTATGTTAATTGATTACTTAGTCTTTCAGTAAATGAATTAATACAGTCAAATGATTCCACAACTTAAAGTAAATTGAGCAATCGTTCGAAGAGGTATACATCATTCCTGAGTTGATCCATAGGGTTCAATCCATGCTCTTTTTTTGCCATATCGACAATCTCATTTGTGACAGTGTAAAGAGCCTTGTAGCATCATGATAGCATATAGCCCGGGAGTGAACCAGCAGCTGCAAGATCCCACCTGTAAAATGCTTTTATCAGTCAACGTCAATCCATATCAGGTATAAAGTGTAAGATAACAATTGATAAATTAGTGCTCCAACAACAAAATTAACCATTACTTTTCACATGAACGCCTCCGACACCGCCACCTATGTGTTGTTTCATCATGCGTCTGTGTTGGGCTTGTTGTGCTGTGCCCACAGCTGAACTTGAGTCTGTTTGTTTGTGTATGTGTGTGTGTGAGTGTTGGACCCTGCCTGCGGTGGCGTTGTGTTGGTGTGTGGTGTGTTCAGTTGTTACCTTGTTACTTTGTGCCTGGTGGTTGCTTTATATATAAAGCGGGGCGAAAGCCTTTTTGGTAGATTATTAAATATAATAATATTATTGATATTTTGAAAACATTTTCCACAATAAGTCCAAGAATATGATTTCCATTTGACTTAATCTTAACACATTTCATATTCAAAGAAAGAGAAGTTTGGTTGCATGTTTTCTATTACAACATCTATTTATGAACGAATGTCGTACAATTGATCCTAAAATTCATAAAATGTGTTTATCATGAGAACACTTATGCTCACTTTTTGATCGCCTCGCTGAAGAGGGAAAGCTCCTCTTGGGTGCCAACAAGATCAAAGATGTCATCCACAATATAGACAAACGAGATGATCTTTGTGATCTCAATCCGGTACCTAGATAAGGAGAAACCCTGGACAACAGTCATTGCCCACATGTACCATTTTAGAACCTGGTCCCTTGCAGTTCGTATTTCTCGAGTCAATCCCAAATCCATCCACCACCTGTGTCACAAAGTCGATGGATTTTTCACAGTTAAGGTCCCCTATTTTGTAGGCCATACATGAGCAATAAAAATTAGTTTTTGTCAAATTTTGCAGGAATATTTTAGCATTTCAATTAGATAAATGATGAGTATATGGACAATGTTTGGATGAACATAAAGACTGGCTGGTCTCATCAATACTAATTTTCCAAGGAGGGTATTAATCACATGAGAAACTTTAATCTTCACCCAGATTAATGCGAGATGTTAATTCCATGGATCTAATGGCTAATTTATTTTTATACATGTACCTCTTAACCTCTTGCATTTCCTTCTGATGCTGCAACTTGTTAAGATATAACTCTGCAACAGCCAGCTCCTCCATTGCAGTGTTCCTAGTGGGCAAGCTCTGGAGGTAACTCAAGTGGTACCTGGCCTTGTACTGCATTAGGCTCACATGGTAGGGATGGTCCAGTGAATGCCTCACATATCTTGCAAGGTTTGGGTTCAAGTGTCTAATTGCAGATGTGAGGTGTCTTCGTGAGAACTCCTTTGCCTTGTAGAGTGATGATTCTCCCATGTTCAAGTGTGATATGTCATGCACGCTGACCAACCCTCTGATATCTTTGCAATGGTCAATCTTGAAGTCACCGTTGTCATCAGTGAACTTTCTAAGAACCTCATCTGCCAACATTGAGGATAAAGGGATTTTTAGGAAGGTGATACATGATAATAACATGAAAACGGTAAAAAGGCAAAAATCAAAATATTTCCACAACTGGAGTATAGGCAAGTAGCTAGAACAACTTCTGAACCCTAACCAAAGCCCCACAGCATCCTGCTTTAGAATCTCACTACCACAAATCAGAAGCACATGAGTACGAAACAAATCCACATGTTTTCCTTCTAGACGATAAATTGGTCTCCACACAGCAGATGAACTGGCACACCAAGATTTCTGGCATGACAAGAACACACCCCACATGGAGTATTCATTTTTATCTTATATAGCATAGTATATTTGAAAACTAAAGCCTAAACCTTGTATCGAAGTTGAAAAGCATAAGAGTCAAAAATGACTTGCATCCATGGATATCTTAACCGAAATGCATATATGACATGTGCACTTAGTACTTACCTGCTGAAATATCATATTTAGCTTCTCTCGCCAGCCTGAGTGAAAGCGTTGCTTCTAGTAGATCATCACTATGGAGTAGATCCAAGCATGAATCCACGGCATTGTCGATCTCGTCTTGGAAATAGTGGTCCATGCAGAGGCGCTTGAGGTGATCAATGGTGGTCAACACCTCCCGCTTGTTCTTATGGTTTTGATGCAGCCTTGCCTTAACACTCTCCAGGCCCTCCTGGTATTCCATGGAGAAAATAGTTCTATTTTAAAATGCAAAAAGAAAGAATACATGTCATATATAAGAAGCCCCGGTGTTCACTTTGCGAGGCTATTTTTTTATATTAATCAAAGAAAAAAAAACTTGTCCCTGCTTATTTCGCCCCAGAGAACTGAGAATCAATCAGTAGGCTAGAGGTGGACGTACGTGCTCATGCAGATTTGAAGCTTGGCCTCTCCGGTGGTAGTGGTAGTTGCTTCTATATAAAATGCCACGGGTGCTAGGTCTGTTGGTCGAGGTTTTTATTTTTATTTTTTCCTGGGTTTATAAAACTGTGAAGTTAGTCACTTATTTTCTATATGAATCTTACATGGAGTTCTTTCTAGGGAAGATTACATAGAGTTGTACAGGAAATATGTTAGCAACCAACTAGTACTCACTTGATCTATTGCAATATCTCACGAATTAAAGTGGCAATTTAGAGTTATAATCACTTGATACACGAATTGGGGGAACAGAAGGGGAAAGGTGAAATAGCCGCCGTTGGTTTGTGTCGTGATCCGTTGGATGAGCAGAACATTGCCTTCTACCTGGTAGTTGTATTCTGCAGCGCTCAATGGTCCCCCGATGGGCCAAGCCCATGTACTGGCCCAGGGACAAGCCCACGTACCAGTCAGGAGAGGGCTCCTGACATCCCTCTCTTCTTGAATTCGGCTTGACCCCAAGACGACAACACCCAGAACCGCCTGGATCCCATTGCAGTTGCGGATGCTTGACTTGGTTGTAGTCACAATGGTAGTCGAAGCCGGGGTAGACTTCAACTTAGTAGGAGCAGTAGTTGTGGCTGCTGGAAGCCCCACTGAAGAAGGCGTCAAGGGCAAAGCCATTGTCGATGCTGTTGTCGCCAAAGCCAAGATGGTACTCTTGGTCGACAGAGCCTCGTGTGAAGACAATGGCGACAATGACGACACCCCTCCCTTCTTAAAAATGCCCTTGATTGTAGTAGGTAGAGGACACCATACCCACTGCCGGTTGAAGATTAGACTCCATAGAATTACCCTTCTCAGCATCACCAGATGTAGTTCCAGATGATGTGTTCTTGGCCCTTAAGGTTCAGATACAATCTCTATACGGACAGACTCACTGTTGCTATGCCCATACGCATCAGATGTACATGAAGATCCATAGTCGCCTTGATTCTCATTCACACCATTTTTGAGGATTTTCATTATGAACCGCTGGTATGTTGCCTGTTTCATTTGGAAGAGTCTCAGCAGAATGCTCGTCGCCTGCTCCAGCCTTGGTATCTTCAAAAAGGGACTTAGAGTCAGCTTGAGACACCACTGCCCCCTCTTTCTCAGCTTGCTCTCCATCGGAACCATTGCTGCTTGCATCGATCTGATCTGCATTAGTGGATCCATCACTTCACGCTTCTTCTTCATGGGGTACATCATCCCCTAGAACATGCTTCTATCATCATGGGAAAGTTGGTCCTCGCTAGCATTGTAGTGCTCATTTATCTTATCATTAGAATGATGTTGCACTCGATAAACAAGCCAACCAACCACACCTTCATGTAACGGCTGCTTAGTGAAACAAGAATCTTCATTGTACTGTCTCCAAGACCACCGGCACAATAACTGGCCTAGAAGGATCCTTATGCCATTTCCAAGGGAATGGGGGCGTGAAAGATGATTGAAGCATGACCACTCCCTTGAAATTCTTCTTGGCTCAAAAATTTCCAGTGCACTGAGATAATATGAAATATTCCCTGCAATTTATCAGAAAGAGGAATGCCACCGATAACAGCATACTCCAAATCCAATACTTGATGCTCATAATTTTTCCTCCGCTCGAGGACTTTATACGCAATATCGCTAATGCTCCACAATTTGAGACCAAAGCACCCAGCCAACCGGATAACTTGCTCCACTGATGATTCTATTAAAACATGCAACTGAGTGCCCTGTAGATATTGCTGCAATGTGCTCCCCATCGTTGGACGATGGTCAGGTGGCCACCAAATAGAGCAAGAGTGATCACTCGCATGTATGCCAACGACCTTAATAGCAATGTTCACTACAATCTGTACTTGGATAGGGGAAGGCCATGATTGCATATTGATTTTGTCCCGCAACGGTGGTAGAAGCAAGTTTTTGCTCTTGGCCACAATACGAACTACACGCTAGGGATAGCATAGGCTTCCTCGTTGACTCATGGCCTTCCCCTATTCAAGTATAGATTGTAGTGAACATTGCTATTAAGGTCGTTGGCATACATGTGAGTGATCACTCTTGCTCTATTTGGTCAGGAAACCCGTGCGAGAGAAAACATCAAAAGAACTACAGGCCTCAAGTCAATTGCTGCTGCTATTCATGTGTAGGTACAGTCTTCTCTGGCCTATAGTTCTTCTGATGTTTTCTCTCGCACAGGTGGCCACAAAATAGAGCAAGAGTGATCACTCGCATGTATGCCAACGACCCTAATAGCAATGTTCACTACGATCTGTACTTGAGTAGGGGAAGGCCATGGTTGCTGATTGATTTTGTCCCGCAACGATGGTAGAAGCAAGTTTTTGCTGTTGGCCACAATATGAACTACACGCTAGGGATAACATAGGCTTCCTCATCGACTCATGGCCAGACAAGACTGTACCGTACACATGAATAGCAGCAGCAATTGACTTGAGGCATGTAGTTGTTCTGATGTTTTCTCTCGCACAGGTTGCTGACCAACAGTTTCCAATCTGGTCGAAACTTGAAGCAGTTGTACTCCAAAATGATTACTACAACAAGTTGAATTGCAGCTCTTGGAAAACCAAATAAATGTTCAGGCCTGCATCGTCCACTTCCCTTAAATTCCTCTTGACGATAAAATTGCCAAAGCACCAAGATACTCATAATCCATACTGTTCCCAACATTTTTCCATTAATAGGAATTCCCCAAACGGTAGCAGATACCAGTACGAGATGTGACCAGTCTCTAGTGCTCCACAATTTCTCAAGACAAAAACGACTAGCTAACTCACTGATGTGCACATGAATAATAAATTGATGCTCACTAAATTCCAGAATTTTTAGTTCAGACCAAAGCTGTACTGCTCGAGAAGTGTTGGATAGTAACATAAACTGAAACTTGTGCATAAGGCAGGGCTTTGATTTCCTCACAAACTGAGAGTCCATGAAACTCTCCTTTGTAATTGTTCAAAAGGGTTGTGCAGAGCAGATTGGATGGTGCACTCCCTGCTATTTGTTCCAGCATGAGCAGAAGCAGAGATCATCTCACTACGAGAAGTGGAACCCAAGAAAGTGAGCTGCCCAGAAGGCCATGGTTGCAACTCAACAAAAGTGACAAACAAAGTCTGTAGGTGAGTAGGAAGATGCCATTCTGGCAACTTGATTTTCATCTTTGGGTGGTGGTCAGGTGGCCACCACACATAGCCATGAAGCAGAACAACCACATCATCTGCCATTTGCATATGGATAGGGGGCAGCCATGGTTGTGGATTGTTTTTCTCCGGTGATGGTTGCAGGCTTGGTAGGTGACCTGCCGGGTTGAGGTAGATAGCACTGTGGGGTGCCCAGGTCAGAGGTCGATTTCCCAGCGCAAGCATAGGCTGCACCCAACAATCGTTCTGGAAGAGGCATTCTGTCAAACGCCTGGCGTGCATCAGTGTGTTTGACGGCAGGATGACATCCCGCTGTAGCGAGAGGGTGGAGACTACCATCAGAGGCGTTGATTCAACAGGATGTGCGGCCAGTGGAATCAAGGGCGGAGCAGAAACATTGACGTTGAGGATGATGATGCAGTGATCTGCGTCGCATACTGTCGGGGAAGCGAGCTTCAGGGAAACTATGGAGGGGGTCTATGGAGGCGCGAGTACCATGATTGTGTCGTCGGGGGTGGCTCACGACTCCTTGGTAGCGCTCTCCGCGGACGACCCAGTGGCGATGGATCGTGGGCGCAAGTCGGCGTGTGATCAGGTGTGGCCTCCACCATGGCGTACTTGCCCGTGTGGGCGGACGCCTCCGGAGTGGTCACGATGCTGGCATGGTCGATGATGTCGAGGGAGGACTGATGGTGGACGGCAAGCTCGGTGTAGTCGGCTGGGAAGGCAACCAGATCGACATGCGAGGTAGCCACGACAGGACCGCCCCTGACTGCCGTCGTGAACTCAGACCTGATGCTATCCAGCTGCGCTGATAGCCGTCTGAGAAACCACCGCATCTGCTCATCTGCGGCCACGGCGTCCCACTCCGGTGGATAGACGAGGGAACAAGGAGCTTGCTCCGGATCGTACATGGTGTTGTGGACGGTGAAAATTGGGGAATTGGAGGATATTTTTACTGGCTCTGATACCAGATGTTAGGTACTCACTCGATCTATTGCAATATCTCACGAATTCAAGTGGCAATTTAGAGTTACAATCACTGGATACACGAATTGGGGGAACAAAATGGGAAAGGGGAAATAGCCACCGCCGGTTCGTGTCGTGATCCACTGGATGAGCAGAACGTTGCCTTCTACCTATACTTGTATTCTGCAGCGCTCAATGGTCCCCCAATGGGCCAAGCCCATGTACCGGCCCAAGGGCAAGCCCACATACCAGTCAGGAGAGGCTCCTGACAAAATATATCTCTATTTCAGTTAAAGTCGCTTACTAACACGCTTCAGTCATAACTACTGAAATTGCTGGGCTGCCGGCGGCAGGCCTCATATGCTATTAGATAGTTTCCTTCTCCGGCAGGAATTGACTCGCCGGCTGCTCCTGCTCAACGTCGGGGAGCGATTGGTGGATAGCCGAGCGATTCGGCCCGGGAAGGAGATCGTTCTACACTCTGATGTTTGATTCCCCTGCGATGTTGCGCATGTTGGTCTCACGCTGGATAGAGAGGATGCGGTGCATGGGGAGAATTCCAAGGTGAGCAACCACCATGAATGAGGGAGGAAGGTGGGCAGATATAACTCCCCCTCAGACCCGAGTGGTGGTGCGACCCCCTCAATTTCTCTCCAGTGCGACTCACATCCCTCTCTGCTCCCCTTTGCGTTGTTAGCGAGATCTCCACCTCATCCAGATCGAGTTGGCGGATTGGAGGTTGAGGCTGGAAAGGGAGACAGTGGAATTAGAGAGCGGGGATGACGAAAGGATGGAGAAGATGAGAGAGATAGTTTCGTGGTTCTCGAGTCTGAGGCCTAGTTCTTTTGAAAGATTCTCCCAGAATCTGGGAGAAGCTGGGGAGGGCCAGATTCTGGGAGAATCTTGCAAAAGAACTGGGGGGCGTGTTTGGTTGCGTGGTAAAAAGTAGGTGGGCTTACATGAAAGTTGGTAGGAGTAGGTAGAAAGGAATCTTTTACTTTTTCAGTTGTTTTTTTATAGTAAACACTTGTTTGGCAATAAACACGGCTCCACGTTCTGGCCACCATGATGCTCAAATCACCTCAAAACTTGGCTCAAGAGGAATGCTCGGCCATTTCTCCCCATGCAGACACACGTGCAATACGAGGCGAAAAATATTCCCTGAGACTTGCATGACTCTCTGACACCACATGCACCACGCCGCCACAACCAAACACAGTGCATGCAACTCTATCAACCCCCACCTACTTTCATACGAGTTGTTACCTTTTTCCCCGTTTGGTTATTGCATTGACATGACCAGGCTGAGCGAGGACAGCCTGAGCGGGAACATACTGAGTTGATACACAGACCTCATGCAACTGATAGATGACAACCAAACATGTTAGATGGCTTCCTAACTCAGCAACTCCCCACCACGACCTCCAGCATGTACTAATGCACGTGCACTAGTACGCGGCTATAACACACACTACGACTGCCGACCATGCACTTGCACGTAATTGGCAAAACAATCCTGCACTTGTACTAGTAGTATACGTAGATAGTACATGCACATGCAAAGCATTATAACTAGTACTCCCTCCGTCCGGAAATACTTGTCATCAAAATGAATAAAAGGGGATGTATCTAGATGTATTTTAGTTCTAGATACATCCCTTTTTGTCCATTTTGATGACAAGTATTTTCGGACGGAGGGAGTATACAGTAGATAGTACATACACATGCCCATGCGGGACCATCTCCATCCCAGATGAACGGACTGGTCGAGACTTGTGACACATGCATGTGGTGGACGTACAAACATGCCAACATGCCATGTGAGATCGATGGATTGTTGGAAGAAACGACAGGTCAATTCCATCGAGTCCGTACGCGAAGGCTGCTGCGTGCATATGACAGCAAGCCAGCCAGCCAACATACGTGCAGCTGCAGCGAGGCAAGCCCCATAGTGTGTGTCACATGCACTCTTTGGCCTTCACGAGGCCGAACAGGTCGCACGAAGATCATCTCGGCCTAAGCGAACGTTTAATAGCTAGTGCCTCCCTGGGGAACCTCTTATATGCTTCCAAAGGTAATGACATCATCATCATCATAAAATTGCTCTTTTCAAAATTGAAAAATGTTTCAACTCCCAAACAACATACATTTACGATCTGTCTTTATCGTCGGCTTTGTCTCGACGAGAGGTTTGATACTCCCTCCGTCTAGGTGTGTAAGTCGTCTTACGAAAACTAAATAATCCCAAAATACTTAGACGCGGTGCATTAATTTCTACCTCGTTTCTTGTTTCTTCACATATTAACCAATAAGAGACGAGGGGTGTGCATGCTTTTAATGACTTGAGACTACCAAACACGACATGCAGTGGTTAGTTGATTGCATGCAATGCTATTAATTAGAAAATAAACATTAATGTCTCTTATTTCTCTCTCCTCCTTGGTCACGGTGCACAACCTAAGATGACTTAGGGCATGCTTGGATCCAAGGGACTATTTTTAGTCTGACTAAAACTAGTCTCTTTTAGAGGCTAAAGTTCCAATCACCCCTGACTAAAGAGAGGCTAGAACTAGTCTTGAGACTAAAAAAATTTAATCAGGGGAACCCTACTAAAATGTGGATTAATCCTCTCTCTCCTTATTTAACTCCTCTCCTTTAACACATGAGAGTTCTGGATTGGAGGGTTTGGAGGATAATAAATGCTCATTAACTCGATTTAGTCTATTTAGTATTTGTATCCAAGCATGGGTGAGGCTAGCAAGTTTTAGTCCCACTATTTTTAGTCATGGGACTAAAACGTATCCAAGCACCCTCTTACTCACCTAGACAGAGGGAGTACTAGATTCCCCAAGTTTTAATGAGAAAATCATCTTAAAAGTTTCCACCTAGCAATTAATAAAATTGCACCCTGTCATAGAACATCATTCAAGAAAAATAATATACCTTGGTTACATCATCACATGCATACATGAAACTTTGCATGCATAGCATGGTTCGCTAAAAATAAACACTTCCTAGCAGAGGCGGACCACGAAAAAAAATTAAGGTGGGGCGAAGTCTCACTAGAATTTTTTTATGCGAATCAAATGAGTCAATACACACTACGAATGCTCACTACAAACCAATAACACATTACAATGAAAATGTAGACATGTTTCAATAGAAAAACAACCTAAAACATACCGATAATGAAGCTTTTAATGGCGTCTAGAAGACCCACGCAATGGCAATGCCCTACCCTTCTTCTGAAAATCTTCCTTAATTTTATCAAGATCAATGCCGCTAAAAAATCTTCAATTCTTCTCATATGGATAATGAATAGCTCTAGGTTATCAACTATATGGCCACGTTCATAATCTGAGAAATCCTCATGATAAATCTCTGTGAGTCTAGCAAGCTTATTCACATTGAATTTAAGGCTTCAAGCTGCTGTTAAATTTTGCTACAAATCTGCTTTAAGCTACTGTTAAAATATTATCCATTCGGTCACTTCAAATCTACAATCTGCTTCAAGCTACCACTACTGTTACATTTGCTATAAAAATTCAGAAAAGTTCAGAAATTACCTCCTCCCCTTTCCTTTATTCCCTTTCCTTTCTTCTCCATCTTCTTGCAATATGGCCGGAACTGCGCCGGAGTCAGAAGTGGCCGGACTACCGGACCGCTGCTGCCGCCGCCGCTAGGCGCCTAGGCCCCGGCTTGCGCCGCCGTCGCTTGTTGTCGCGGTGCCGCCGCCCTGGCCAGCTGCCGCTAGGCGCCTAGGCCCCGGCTTGCGCCGCCGTTGTGGTGCCGCCGCCCTGGCCAGCCGCCGCTCCTACCTCCTGGGCTCCTGGCGACCTGGCCAGCCACCGCCGCCGCTCGCTAGGGTTGTCACGTAGCGTCGTGTCGAGAGGTCGAGTAGTGGTCGAGACGAGAGAAAAGCCTATGCTCGAACCTGGCCAGGCCAGCCGTGACTCGTCGTTTCGTGGGTGGCTGGCTGTCTCGGCCCATCAGGCCACTGCCCGCGTTGGCCCATAAGATCGAATCAACGACGACGCGGCCTTTTCTATTAGCGATCGATGGACAACCGAACCTCTATATCGATGCATACGTATAAATCTTTTTTTTCTCAAAATTAAGGTATGGCAGGTGCCATACCCTGCCCACCGGGAGGTCCGCCAGTGCTTCCTAGTACTCCTACCATAGTTCCCTCGTATTAATTTCCTTTAAAGTGTCTCATAAAATTTGAAGACATTATTAAAAAAAATGAAGACAAGGCAAGGAATGCTTCCTTTGGTAGTTGGTTTAAATACCATTAGGCTTAAGACAAAGCACATTTTCTAGCGCTATATAATTGGTTGCTACGAGCAAGTACCTGGAAGTTGAAGCCGTCAGACAGCGCATGGAAGTCCCGTGTAGCCGGGCAAGGGCGGAAGAGTCCACGGTGGCGATCTCTCCGAGCGCCATCTCCGGTCACCGCCGGTAAGGCTGAAAGGAGCAATGGCTTGACGGAAACGGAGGAGAAGATGTATGCTTCCATCAGTTGCAAGTAATCTTCTTTCTAATCACACGACCGATGGCTAGCTAATTTCTAGTTAAGTCGCCACTGGCATACGCAGCGAGCTTCTCTTGTGTGCTACCTACCAACATTTATAGTCCGCAGAGAGAGGCAAAGGATACGCTGGAGATAAATCTGATTATGTTTTCGGCCGAAAAGCGACAATATGGATTTCGGTGCAGCAGCTCCGTAAATAAAATTGTCAGCCTTGAGCTGAATCATTACGGTACGTCTCTGGATGACTGGGATGAATAATTGCTTTCCTTACTGTATATGGTTTGCTCACGTCAAAACGTAATATCCATATCAGTTTTGCTAAGTCTCAGTCGACTGAGACTTCGTTTTTTCAAAAAAAAATCTTCTTATATTATATCACTTGACTGAGACTTGATTAAGTCTTAATCGATTGAGACCTACCACTCCCTATCCATACACGTGAAAGATCATTCCCGTACGTCACGCTAGAGATCTTGGTGAAAACAAAGAGATCTTGGTAACTTCCTTTCACAGCTTAAAGAGTCAATGTCAGAAATACGTGAGGATTTACATATAATACGTAAGTTTTTTATTTCTACTAGTAGAATAATATATACGAACGGGTTTTGGTTGGACGTGGACATGGATGGGTCTTAATAGCAAAGCCCGTGCGTTGCAACGGGAGGAAGACAAATACCATAGTTCCTTAACCCAATATAATCATGAGTTAGACCCCAATAGGTCAAATCCTTTATTTCAATGTGAAATCCCATCCGTGTTGCCGCTTATCCTCCTTCGCACCCTCGCCAACGGTGTCCTTTCTGCTCACTGCACTATTGATTAAAGTTGCATCATAACTAGAATTTTAGAAAAGGCTATTGGTAAAATACATCATATTCATATCTGCATATTATTTTAAATCAAAATCCATGTATAACATGTTACATTTAGAGTTAGGGTTTAAAAGATATATTTTTTGGAAAGCATTTGATATGGATTGCGGGTTGATTAACTCAAATGTCAGGGGGTCTTCGCACACAAAAAATGAAAGATTTTTTTGGATGACTTAAACTCCTACCGCGAGTTGATTTCTAGTGACCGCATGGGGTTCCGCAAAAAAAGGGAACATTTTTTAGATGACTTAAACTTGCACTGTGTGTTAATTTCAGGAAACAATAGGGACTTTTCTGCAAAAGATGGTGACAGGCGGGCAAGAGCACTAATCCCTTTATTAATAGGTATAGGTAGACTCGGGCATGGACCGCCCGACCCGAAAGCCCGACATCCAGGCTGGACTCGGGCTCAGCTTTTCCGCCCGAAACCTGGCCATGAAAGCCCGAAAACGACATAAATCACTATTTTATTACAAATATAGGTATAATATACCATTTAAATATCTCAAATTAATTATTTAATTAAAAATGACATTGTTCCTGTGTTTCGGGCCAGGCTCGGGCTTGAGATTTTGAGGTCGGGCTTGACAAAAGCGGACGAATGCCCCAATTTATGCATAGGTATAAATAGGTCTTTAATGATTACCCCTCAATCAGAATTAATTGACGCAGTTTTAGTACTAGAGTTGCATCAATTAATTTGAACCAGAGAGAGTAGGTAATTGTTGTGCATTGCAACGTGGACAATAAGTTTTATCGGAGTTCACTCTTCTTTGCCCACACACCAATCGGAGTTTATCTTACCATTAATATACTTCGTCTTCAGAAGAAATGCACATCATTGCATACAATTTGCGGGAGCAAGCACGTTCGGGCCGCTCGGCAAACCGATACAGGCCCGCGTGTGATGGCTTTAGCTGTCCGAACAACGTGGTCCGAACGGATACAGGCGGTTTGAGGGTCGACGTCGGAGATGCCCTAAGCTAACTCACATCACATGTGCTATTGTGCCCAACTTCAAACTTTAGCCGCCTTCTTCACAGTGCCATCGCCAACACCTTCTCGTCAATGGATCATGTAATCATACGGCCTTACATTGAGGTCAAACGTCCCATCAGCAAATTAAAGTTCTCCAGCCACCTTAGTGTGTTTGAATATTATAAAATAAGTAAAAATTAAGATAAAAATATTATGGCAACATACCTTTTTAGAGGAAGACTAAGATTTATTTGCTACTTTGATACTCCCTCCGTTTTTATATACAAGACCATAAACTCAAATTATAGGTACTACTTTGCGGGAGCAAGCACGTTCGGGCCGCCCCACGTGTGATGACTTTAGCTGTCCGGACAACATGGTCCGGACGGATACAGGCGGTTTAAGGTAAAATTTAATACATGTTTTGCAATCCAGCTTTTCTTTTCATTTACTAGGATCATTAATATGCCGCATACATGCAAGAAAACTGAGTGGGGGAAATAGGTGAGTGTCATTATGACTGCATGCATGCAAGTTTTTAAACAAGTTGGTAATACGAGGAAACATCATTAATGGTTACCTCCATTACTGTTGGTGGCCTTGTATAGATGCAAAAAGTATATATCATAGTGACCTTGTATATGTAAATGGAGGGAGTACTATAACTTCAACAAAGCTTATAAACATGATTTCATGTGACTAAAAATATTGTAGTACATGGAAGATTAAATTATTATGAACAAACATATACATATATCTTATATAACTCAGTAGTGGATCACCACTACATATTTATCTTAACATGCAACTATGCCACCTCAACATGCAATTATGTATGGAGAAAGGTCCACCACAATACAATCATGCATGCAAAAAGGCTCAAATATTTTAATTAGATTATGCTCCTTATATTCAATAATATTATATGATTATACCATATGTACTTTTGGTTTTATTTATTTTTTATATTTAATCCAAACATTCATGTTTGTGTCATCAAATATCAGTGAAAGATATTGCAAATAACGCAACAACGTGCAGGGTATCATCTATTATACATAAGAGAATAATCACCACTAACTTATTTATCTCAACATGCAAACATGTCATTTCACCATACAATTATGAATGCGTTAAGGCCCACCTCGACATGCAATCATGCATGAAAAAGACCCACCACAACATTCAACCATGCATGGAAAAATATTTTCCATTCAATTACTGTACTTATATTTAATATATATTGTTACAACTATGCATAATCAAATATAGTAACTCAAATAGATTTTAAATATTGATTCTCATGTTATCAATCCTAATTTTCATCAATCAATTCCCACAGCAACTCATGGGGTATACTTAGGGCCATCTCCAGGAATTTGGGCTCCCAGTGTGGAACACAAAATGGGCGGGGCCCTAAAATTTGGATGCATGGTTGTTATTTCATGCTATCTTGAAGAAGATCAATGCTTGAATTTTAAATGATCAACTATCTTGGATCTAGGATGTGTTACAACTGACAACTTGAGCAAACTTGATCAATGCTTGAACTCGCTTTCCTCTTTCCCGTCTTATTCTCTGGACATGTATTTCCATTATGTCACAGTAATGAAAAGGGGTTATGCCCGGTTAAAAAGAAACTTGAGCAAACATCAACTCGATGCATGAACCAATGCGTATGTACACAAAAGATAGAGAATATAATTATTATAACCATTCAATATACATCTTTACAAAATGAACAGATGAGAAGAAAACTACTATTAGTATTCAATATAGTGTTTGCCAAAATAAATATGTATACTAATTAATAAATTTATTCAACAGGAAAAAGAAACCTACTCGGTTGATTGATGAAGTAAATTAAATAGGGGTTTGGCTTAGGCACACTTGATTGATGAAGTAATGTACTAATCGGTGTGATTCACTGGCTCTAGACGGACGACTGCTTCTGGTTGGCGTCCCCGGCCAACGACCAGGCCCAAAACAAAGCTCCAGCGTGACCTTGCACGCCGACGCGCGCCCATGACCCACCACCAGCAGCTGCACCGGCGCCTCCTCCTCCTTGTCCCCTCGCGCGCCTGTCCATTCCTGACGCATGGCGTCGTCACGATTTTTGCTCGCTCGCTCGCTAGCATGTCAGCGTCAGGGTCATACAAGTGCCATGGCTGCTTTCACGCGTTTACGGTGGATTCACTAATCATCATTATCCGGTGGCTGGCGTTTGGTTCACCATAGCAGTGCTCCGAGACAGTAGTTCATCACATTGCAGTGTGTTCGGTTCACCACGATCGGCATGCCACGGAGGACTCTGCACGTCCTAGTGGAGTAGGTGCTTAGGTGGGGAGCAAGCAAATTGATCGTTATGTTACAATGTCATTTATCTATTAGTTTTGCTACTAGTGGCGATCGCCCAGATTTGCGGTCACGCGAGCTTTTACCTCGTCAAAACGGTGGTGGCCGCGCGAGCCAAAACCGATGGACCGCATACGGCCATGCATGCCCATGGATGTAATGCATGGGAATATGACCTTTTGGGCCAACTCATTTATGAACCTTTAGCCCCACGTCAATAATTTTATTTGAGGTACGATTGGTTATGGCGGCATTGTTTTTGGATGCTAGATGTTTCTCTCACCGCCACTGCTGGTTAGCACTGCTACCATGGATTAGACTATCCACAGTGGGAGTACTAACAAAGATAAAGATAATAACATAACACATATCTAGATAAAATAGATGATGTGACAAGCAATAATTGAAGAAAAAAAGAAAAAAAGTGTTGCATGTCAAGACAAGATGTGTCTATAGCCTAATAAAATAAAGTGTTGCATGTTAACACATATGTTAGAGCAACTCCAACGGGCTGATCCAAACGGACGGCGATTTCGTTCGCCTTTTGTCCATTTGGGTCGGCTAGACGGACACGGACGTTCGCTTCCGCGTTTGGATCGGCGTATGCGCCCAACGCGCGCCCGACCCATTTTGACGGCGCCGATAAAAAAATTATGCATGCATATTTCAACTGAAAACAACTTAACTAACTATTAAAGCCGGCCAGGAAGGCCGGCGAGAGTCCACGCGTCCACATTAGCATTAAAAAGAAATTAAAAACAATCTAACTACGAGGCGGCG